GGCTGCGGATTATAGTTGGGTCTGTCGAATATAGTATAGGGGGTCTGCCGAATATAGTTGGGGTCTGCCGAATATAGTATAGGGGGTCTGCCGAATATAGTTGGGGTCTGCCGAATATAGTATAGGGGGTCTGTGGATTATAGTTGGGTCTGCCGAATATAGTATAGGGGGTCTGCCGAATATAGTTGGGGTCTGCCGAATATAGTATAGGGGGTCTGCCGAATATAGTTGGGGTCTGCCGAATATAGTATAGGGGGTCTGTCGAATATAGTTGGGTCTGCCGAATATAGTATAGGGGGTCTGCAGAATATAGTTGGGGTCTGCCGAATATAGTATAGGGGGTCTGAGGATTGAAGTTGGGTCTGCCGAATATAGTATAGGGGGTCTGCGGAGTATAGGGGGTCTGCGGATTATAGTTGGGTCTGCCGAATATAGTATAGGGGGTCTGCGGGTTATAGTTGGGGTCTGCGATCTTCGGATTATACAGTTCTGCGATCTTCTATCTTCGGATTATACACTACCGAATGATTTTACAAAACTTAATATTATTATGTTTGTACTAAAAGTTTACATGAATTTTTGGAAAAAATCTTTGTTATTTTGAAGCAAACGCACATTTCCAAAAATGACATTTGTATTCTTTCAAGGACAAATCTATTAGTAATTCGTAAATAAAAAGACACATTTCCACCTTTTGTTTTGTAATGTCCTAATTAGCTTGATGGGAACTAAACTGTCTTGTGTGTTTTATTTAAGAATCAGACCAGTCGTTGCTCACTGTCTGACAGAGGTTAGTTCCTCTTAAAAAACTTGGCTGCTAATTAGACAGTATACAGGTCACGCTATAGCTTGTCAGCGGTGTCACTGCTGTAGACAGCTTTCATCCAACATCTTTTTCAAAAGAGAATGTCATCGAACATCATTGTTTAATCTTCCGTGTCTTTAATCCTGCAACTAATATTCGCGAATTGAAAGATGACGCTGGCTGCAATAAAAAGTCAAACCAAAATATAAACGATTTTCCTCTTCAAACCAAGAGTGCAACTTCAAAGTTGATTATCTCGAAAGTTTGAAAAAATTTCGAAATTCTGTCCGAGTAATGGCCATTTTAGTTCAAGGATGTGGTCGATAGTCTGTCTATAGTGTCTTTCTGCACTGCATTTTCAATGGGGTGAAGACCAAAACTTTGACAGGTTCTCGTTCGAAGGCTATCAGAGCTGGAAACTTGAAATTTGCACTGAAGGTACACACCTATTGGAAGTTGTTATGTTTCAACTTTCAAGTCCCTACCGTGAAAACTCTGCCTGTTATAGCACTCTGAGTTTCAGATTTTTTCTCGAACCAAAATATAATCAAATTTCCCTCTTGAAAATCCGAGTGCAACTTCAAAGTCTATTTTTAAAAAATCCGAATTTCTGTTTTCGACTGAAATAGTTCAACTTTCGTTTGCAACAAAAATTATATCTCTGGGGTCAAAACTGGCGAAGTTATGGCCATCTTAGTGGGGGGGTCGGCAGTCCGCCTATAGAGTTTCGTTGTACTGGTTGGGGTGAAGACCAAAAACTATCAGAGATGTAAAGTTGCAATTTGAAGGTACATACCTATCTGAAGTTGTGTTCCAAATTTCAGCTTCATATCGTGAAAACTCTGCCAGTTACAGCACTTTCAGTCTCAGACTTTTTTCCCAAACCAAAATTGGCCGAGTTATGGCCATTTTAGTGGGGGGGATGGGGGTCCGCAGTGCGCATATATAGTTTCGTTGTACTGGTTGGGGTGGAGACCAAAACTTTAACAGGCTGTCGTCCGAAAACTATCAGAGATGTAAAGTTACAATTTGCACTGAAGGTCAACACCTATCTGAAGTTGTTATGTTCTAATTTCACCTTCTTATCGTGAACACTCTGCCAGTTACAGCACTTTCAGTCTCAAACTTTTTTCCCAAACCAAATATAAGCGATTTTCCTCTTGAAATCAAGGGTGCAACTTCAAAGTCGATTTTCTCCAAAGTTTGAAAAAATTTCGAATTTCTGTTTTCTACTGAAATAGACGGAGGAAATGATAGGTTTTCATTACAAACAAAAATTATACCTCTCGGGTCAAAATTGGCCGAGTTATGGCCATTTTAGCTTAGGGGTGGAGTCGACGGTCTGTCTATCGTGCCTTTCTGCACTGCATTTTCAATGGGGTGAAGACCAAAACTTTGACAGGCTCTCGTTCGAAGACTATCAGTGCTGGAAAGTTGCTATCAGTGCTGGAAAGTTGAAATTTGCACTGAAGGTACACCTATTGGAAGTTGTTGTGTTCCAAATTTCAGCTTCCTATCGTGAAAATTTTTCCAGTTACAGTGTAACTGGGTACAGGTTAGGGGTACTTAATTTTCTGTATATTGTTGTGGTCTGAAGCATATGGTTAAGTAAAGGGAGGTAATAATCTTCTGCTTTGGAGATTCATTCCGTATTTTAAGCTGTGTTAAAAAAATATCTTGTGTTGAAATTAACTGTGTTATTTCTCTCTTCCACAGGTAAAGTTTAACTTTTATTTGTATTAATTATGTATCAAAATGTGCATTAGTCATCCATGTTTATGTTTATAATAAGAATAAGTGTTGGCAGTGTTAATTATATTACGTCATCAGTCAGTCACGGGATTTCATGAGAGAGGCTTGGTCACGTGGTCATCAGTTACTCGCTTGGTCGCCGGCAGGGTAACACCTGCCTTGTCATCGCTCTACAGATATTTCTGTTTTATTGCTTTACACATAAGAAATAATTTTCTTATCTTACATAGCAATTTAGATAGATTCTTTCACACAGATCTGTTCATACTATTGACGAAGATCTAATTGTTCTTTAGTAAACTGTTGAACCATCTTGCCAGGCCGACTACGAAATAATTTTCCAACATGGCGTCGAACGATAAACAGTTTGTTGTTGGATGCCGTTTCGAAGATGGCTAATAATATGGACTCGTTCTTGTCGGATTTGAAACAATCTCAGTTTGACAGTCTCTCCGATATAAGGAAATCCCAACAAGAATTCCTCAATTCGATCTGTGACAATGAACGGTCCAGCTATAATTCTGATAGCGATTTTGGGAGACAAAATGTAATACATATTGATGGGGCCTCAGCTTTAAATAATCTATTGAATTGTGATGGTTCAAATACCGCTATTGACTTTACTGGATCTACCAGTACGGATAAATCTCCAGAAGTCGTTGAGAATGAGAAGACCGCTACTATCATTGCCCCTATGACGATTAGGCCTAGTATTAATAATTCTACCTCGCAGAGTGATAGAAGTAAAAAGTTGCCTTCGTCAACTATTACTTCAGGCATGCTAGATGTCGATGTAGATACCGACTTGAATAATGATAATTTTAATTCGACACGAGAGTCTCAAACTCTACAAAGAGCAGACGAATTTTCAGGGATATTCTCACAATACAGCGAAACTGCCAGGTAATTTAGCTGATGTTGTTAACACGTTGATTGGTCAAGGTCTCTCTGACGAAAAGATGAATGATCTTGTCAACAAATACCTTAGACCGGAGAATTGCCAGAATTTGAGCATAACGAAGGTTAACAAATCTATTTGGGATTCTTTATCGTCGGATACGAGATCGTCTGATATCAAACTCCAAAAAGTACAACAGCTGATTATAAAAGGATTAGTTCCATTAACACTGTTGGTACAGAATTTCATGGAATCTCCACAAAGCGACACCGCTTCCGGTGAGGTTACTAACAGTAAAGACTGCTTTAGAATGTTGACAGACTCAATGGCTTTGTTTGCGGCTGCAAACTCCGAAGTTAATGGAAGGCGTCAGGTATTAATGAAACCAGATGTGAACTCATCTTACCGTTCCCTATGTACTGTTAAAGGGGAGAATGGTCCTCTACTGTTTGGAAATGATTTACCTCAACGCCTACGAGACATCAGTGAAACCAATCGAGTCACTAGTCGAGTTTTTGGTCAACAAAGTCGACCATATCGTCCTGATAATAATTTTAACAGAGATTATACTAGAAAAGGATCTCGTCAATTCCATCCTTATAATAAACCTAATTTCCAACCACGATTTAATCAAAATGGGTCCAATAAGTATCGTGGAAACACCAGAGGAAAGGGTCCTTTTTAGGTCAAGGTCACACAAATCAGACCAAAAAGAAGACGACCTCGTCAAAAACCAAATAAATTTAGATACCGGTAATGAAGACTACAATTACACGGTGAGTTCTAGAGTTTACCACTTACTGACTCTAATGAACATAGTTTTTAATTGTAATACTACAAATTATGAAGCTTTGTTGCCTGAGTCAAATAACAGCAAGTTTTCTGCTGGCCAATTGAAATGTCATTTTACAAACTGGAAAAAATATACTTCTGATAAATGGATTTTAAACTCTATCCAAGGTGTAGAGATAGACTTCTCTGAAACCCCAATTCAAACTCACCCTCTTAGACAGCACAGTTTTTCAATTACTGAAACACAATTTGTTGACTCTGAAGTTCAAAAATTACTATGTAAGGGTGTCATTGAACAGGTTACTCATGAACAAGGTGAATTTATTTCATCAATATTTTTAAGACCGAAGAAAGATTCTTCTTTTCGTTTGATTTTAAATTTGAAACAACTAAATCAATTTATAGTTTATAATCATTTCAAGATGGACACTATTCAAACAGTCTTTGATTTAATTGAAAAAGACTGCTTCATGGCATCACTGGATCTACAGGATGCTTACTACAGTTGTAGCATTGCAAATGATTACAGGAAATACCTTAAATTTAAGTGGAATGACAAGTTATATCAATTTACTGTGTTGCCTAATGGGCTTGCTAGTGCACCCAGAATATTCACTAAGATTATGAAACCTATTTTGGCATCACTTAGACAACAAGGCTTTATATCCAGTGGTTACATTGATGACATTTTCCTTATGGGAAGCACCTATGAGCAGTGCTTATCAAATGTCAAATTCACTTCTGAAATATTGACAAGTTTAGGCTTCTGTATAAATGTTAAAAAATCTGTTACGCATTTAGGTTTTGTATTGGACTCTAAGAGCATGAGTACAAAACTTCCAGAGGCTAAAGCTCTTAGTATTAAGGAATTTTCAGAGCAGGTTATCAGAGAAAAGACAGTACTTATACGAACAGTCGCTAAATTAGTTGGACTCTTTGTTTCTAGTTTACCAGCTATGGAATATGGTAATCTTTATTATCGAAGTATAGAGATTGAAAAAATAGCTGCTTTAAAACGCAACTGTGTAAAATTATGACTTTGTCTGGGTCTGCATTAATAGACATAAAATGGTGGGCGGAACACATTTCTATATCAAGCAAGTCGCTTGTACCAAAATACCCTGACCCTTTGTTTATATTACGTACTGATGCATCTCTATTAGGTTGGGGTGCTGTTTTTATGCACAATGAACAAGAAAGGGGGGGGTGGTGGTCTCATGATGAGAGTCTCCTGCATATTAATGTCTTAGAACTGAAGGCTGCTTACCTCGGTTTACAGTCATTATGTTCTGATATGATTAATCATTCAATAAAATTAGAAATGGATAATACCACAGCAGTGGCATATATCAATAATAGAGGAGGCAGTAAATCTCCCCAATGTTATGATATAACTCGAAAAATATTTGATTGGGTCCTATCTAAAGGCATTTCGCTCACTGCATCTTTTATTCCTGGTGTCTCTAATACAATTGCTGACAAAAAATCAAGAATTTTTGATGATCAAACTGAGTGGACTTTGCATGAAGACAGGTATCAACATATAACTTTACTTGGAACACCAGATATTGATCTCTTCGCATCAAGATTGAATACTAAAGTCAGTGTGTATTGCTCTTGGCATCCTGATCCCGATGCTTTTACTGTTGATGCTTTTACTATACCATGGAATAATTTTAACTTACCATATGCTTTTCCTCCTTTTAGTTTGCTGTCAAAGGTTTTACACAAGATAAAAATGGACAAATGCAAACAGTTTCTGCTGATAGTTCCACTTTGGCCAACACAAGCTTGGTTTCCTTGCCTACTGAGAATGTTAACCTGTACCCCGAAAGTTCTTACATTGAAGAAGAAAACACTATATCTACCATTCAATCTGGAGGCCGAACACAAATTATGGAAAAAACTGAAATTAATGATATGCGTCTTGTCCGGTCAGGCCTTGCCTTGCATGGAATTTCGCAAGAAGCTCAAAACATTATATGCCAATCCTGGCGAATTTCAACATCGAAACAATATGACACATACCTTGAAAAATGGATCAACTTTTGTGGTAGATGGAACAGTGATCCCTTATCATCTTTTCTGAGTTGTGTGCTTGATTTTCTTGTTAGCTTGTACAAAGAAGGACTGGGATATAGCGGATTAAATACAGCCCGTTCAGCATTGTCTAGTTAGACTCTGATTATAACGGAACTTTGGGAAAACATCCCTTGATATGCCGTTTCCTAAAAGGAGTCTTCGAATTGCGTCCATCACTTCCACGTTACACCCATACTTGGGATGTGGACATTGTTTTGAGGTATCTTTCATCTCTTGCGCCTGCTGAAGATTTAACTTCAAAGATTTATCAAGGACTTAGTGGACAAAGATGTCAGTCCATTCATGCCATAAAGTTAAGCAAATATTATTTTTGATGTAGATAAAGTGACTATTCCGTTAACAGATTTGTTGAAACAATCAGGGCCTAATAGGAAAAATCCTGTTTTAGTGTATCCATTTTATCTGAGTGAACCTAATATATGTGTTGTTAGATTATTGAAGTCAGCGAACTTCTGAATTACGAGATAGTAACTGTGACCAATTGTTTATTACAACTTTAAAACCATATACTTCAGCATCAAAATCAACTATAGCTCGTTGGATTCGTGAAATCTTGGCTCTTGCTGGTATTGATATTCAAACTTTTCATGCACATAGTGTTCGATCTGCCTCAAGAAAACAAATTCCTATAGATGTGATTCTTAATTCTGCTAGTTGGAAAACTTTGTCAGTTTTTCGGAAGTTTTATAATTTACCTATAACGCACACAAGAGATACATGTTTTGCTGATGCATTATTAGATGTAACTGACTGAAAAGTTAATATTTTTAGTTTATATTTACATTTGAGTTTTTTGAGATTATTGATATTAAGAATGTTCAGATAGAACATAATGTTTTCATTAGAACTGTTTATTTTATTATTTTAGTTAATAATATATAAAGCTTTTGTTTAAATTGAATTTATTTATTTATACATTTTCTGCTAAGCTGTGCTCATGTCTTGCTTTGAAATCTCATGAAATCCCCGTGACTGCTGATGACATAATATAATTAAAAATTAAACATCACCTTACAGGTAAGTCTCGTTTAATTTTTAAATTATTTGAGAACTTACGGTATTGTCTTGATGGAATTGAACATGTTTGTAAGACGTTTAGGTTATCTCCCTCATTAATATGTATAAGCCATTTTGGCGGCAAATCCTCTTGCTTTTCATGAATATTAATGAGCGCAAGTCGGTGTCTGTAATTTGCCAATTTGCCAACTTCCATACTCAATAATCTTATGAAATGTTAACATTGCAAAATGGATTCCGTATTTTATGCTGTGTGAAAAAGGATCTTGTATTGAAATTAACTGTGTTATTTCTCTCTTCCACAGGTATAACCTGAGCCCAACCAAACCTTCTTATCCCATAAAGGGAGCCGCGGTGGCTCAGTGAGTTAGACGCTTGCTCGCTAACCTGAAGGTCTAGGGTTCAATCCCGGCATAGGTCGAGATATACCTTCGGATTTTTCAAGCCGGTTTCCCCCTGTCAGTGATGCAGGTAAGAGGGGCTGACATGGAAAAAGCGTCTAGTCGTTCGGATGGGACAATAAACCGAGGCCCCGTGTGCTACAGGCTGTGCACGTTAAAGATGCCTCGACAGTTGGAAATCGAAAAAGAGCAGGCTAATGCCGCTGTCCTGTCAAAATTTCCCTCATCGCACCCGACTTGGCGTTGCCCGTCTTCATTAGCCCACATGGTGCAGAAAAGTAGGACGTAAAACTCCATTCGTTTCATTTCATTTTTCTTATCCCATACAAATAAATTTGTTTGTTGACAATACCAGGGTCAACAACAGCACTTTCAGTCTCAGACTTTTTCCCCTAACCAAAATATAAGCGATTTTCCTCTTGAAATCAAGGGTGCACTTTCAAAGTCGATTTTCTCCAAAGTTTGAACAAATTTCGAATTTCTGTTTTCTAGTGAAATAGACGGAGGAAATGATAAGCTTTCATTACAAACGAAAATTATATCTCTCTGGTCAAAATTGGCCGAGTTATGGCCATTTTAGTGAGGGGTGGGGTCGGCAGTCTGCCTATAGCTTCTTTCTGCACTGCATTTTCAATCTCGTTCGAAGGCTATTAGAGCTGGAAAGTTGAAATTTGCACTGAAGGTACACATCTATTGGAAGTTGTTATATTTCAAATGTCAAATCCCTACCGTATGTTACAGCCATTTGAGTTTCAGATTTTTCTCGAACCAAAATATAATCAAATTTCCCTCTTGAAAAATTCGGTTGCTACTTCACAGTAGATTTTCCCCGAATGATTTAAAAAAAAATCCGAATTTCTGTTTTCAACTGAAATAGATAGAAAACATGTTCAACTTTCGTTTGCAGCAAAAATTATTCCTCTAGCGTCAAAATTGGAGAAGTTGTGGCCATTTTAGTTCAGGGGTGGGGTCGGCAGTCTGCCTATAGCTTTTAGTTGCACTGCATTTTCAATGGGGTGAAGACTAAAACTTTGACAGGCTCTCGTTCGAAGGTTATCAGAGATGGAAAGTTGATAATTGCACTGAAGGTACACACCTATTGGGAGTTGTTATGTTTCAAATTTCAAGTCCCTTATATAGATTCGAGAAACTATTACAAAGAACTATTAGAAAATAGGTCTAGACAAGCATATACTAGCCTTTGTGACAAATTAAAAAGTTTTTTAAAAACGAATGACCATAAAGCATTTTGGAATACTATTAATCCAAGGTCAGGATATCCCACTAACAAAATCTCGCCAATTGAATGGTCTAATCACTTTGAAAATCTCTTTAGAGGTGCGGAAAAATCAGACGATTATGTCAAGTTTTATGATGATGTGGAAAAATTTGTAAATTCTATTGATATGGATCATGTAGAAGATTCTTCAGATCTTAGTTAAACAGATAACGCATGATGAGATAATCAAATCCATAGGTAATATACAAACGGGTAAATCCCCTGGCTTAAGTGAAATTCCAGTGGAATTCTGTAAGAATGCCCCTTCTATTTGTATTGATATATTGCACTTATTATTTAATCTTATATTAACTACAGTGAGCCTCCTAGAAGTAAACTTTACTGTGCCCTAATTGAGCTATGGAACAACAAAATGAAGGGTCGAACGTTTAGGCTTATCAAGATTATGTATAAGCATGTCAAAGCATGTGTAAGGTTGCAAGAAGGGAGAACTGATTTCTTTGAATGTGACTATGGTGTTCGCCAAGGATGCCAGTTGTCTCCGTTTTTATTTATATTTTTCATCAATGATGTTGTTGATGAGCTTGTTAATAATGATTCAAGAGGTATTAGTAATGGCACAATAGAATTAGTCATGCTCATATTTGCAGATGCCATCATATTATTTGATATTATTGTACGGGGGCTACAAAGCCGACTAAGAACTCTGGAGGCCTATTGTGCAAGTGGCAATTAAACATACATACGAGCAAGTAAGATAATGGTGTTCAGGAAAGGTGGTAAACTGAAACAATTGGAAAAGTTCTATCTTAATGGAAGTGCATCCACGTATAAATATCTTGGGGTACACCTGTCTAGTTAGTCCTCATTCAATGCTCTGAACTGAAACCCGCTCGTAAGCCACTGCTAGAGTACCTGGAAACCAACGTCATACAACTCACCATACAGAATGTTTTGGCTCCACCTACGGACCACTGGTATACGATAATGGAACTAGTCTTCCATTTTATAACCAAATCTGTCTTGAACAGATAGGCTAAGTTTTATACTCAAAGTTTCTTAACTTTTTAATTATATCCAATCAATTTAACAAGTTTCATTGCAGAAACATCAGAGAACATCTTTTCCCCTTTTGTTGAAAACTCCACCCCTTCCTCTTTTCTCACTTCCTTTTTTTCTTTTTTTTTCAGGTCTTCTAGTTTTCCAACAGATAACAGATAATCTAACCAAACCAAACTAAACCAAAACAACGACTACCATTCGACTACCAATCAACAATACCATGATCAGAACGAGTTTGGAAGAATGAAGGAAATCGAGTTACTCACGCGACACCATCCAGGGCCGCATGTCATTCGACCCGACCAGATCTAACGAAGAATCAACAACCAAACCAACAACACAGAATCATCCAATTTGAACCAATCCAACTACCAATTACTACGACTACCAACAACTACCTAGTTTGCGGTATCAGCATCCGCAGGAAGCGAACGTTAACTTGTCATCTATCTACCTACCTACCTGTCTAGTTAGTGCTCATGGTATGTAGCACAAAATATATTACCACAACAGGCCTCCAAAGTACTATTATTATTGAAAGCAAATATTAGAAATTTTTGCAATTTACCTAACTACATATATTTGATAGTAAAATACTACCAATTTTGACATATGGGTGTGAAGTATGGGCATTTCATCCGCCACATGATGGTGTACGTATTCATGATAGATTTTGTAAGACTATCTTACACTTAGGTAGAAATTCATCAAATATTGTAGCTAGAGGTGAATTAGGTCGATATTCACTAAGGGTACACCTAAACTATAAAATAATTAAGTACTGGACAATACTATTAAGCCAGACTGACAATAAATTGTTAAATCGCGTCTACAAATATCAACATGATTTAGCTGAAAAAGATATCTATTTTTTGTCATATTGTGTAAAACAACTGTTGTATGAGCATGGGTTTGGCTTTGTTTGGGAGACACAGAGTGTGGGGGGATGGAAATAACTTTCTTAGACAATATAAACAAAGATGTATTGATATAGATAGACAGAATTGGAATATTTCTATCGCATTCATATCTAAACGAGACTTATACTGTAATATCGAACAGCTGAATGCAATGGAACATTATTTAAATTGTGTACATGTTAAGCCATATCGCATTGCCTTAAGTGAGTTAAGATCATGATCTTATGATTGAAAAAGGGAGACAACTCAACTTAGAGAGACATGAAAGATTATGCCCTTTCTGTATCAGCCCAAGTATAGAAACAGAATACCATTTCTGTATGGACTGTCCTTATTATGATGTTAGAGTAAAATTTATTCCATCGTTCTTTATTAAATACCCAACATTTGGAAAATGTTATACTTTGTTACGAACTAGGCCTATTATAAATAAGTAAGTTCTTTTCTACTGTGAGATTTTAAAAATCCTGCCGGAGTTGTAAATCATTTTTTGATCGCCTATATACTTGGTATTTATTGTCTTAAAGTATATTACATGTTGATCCAGTTGTCATGTTTTAATATAAATGTATATCCTTGTAATGTATAATGGGCCTGTGGCCCAA